TTGTATTTTTTCCATTACCATTTATTCCCCTCATGCCCCACCCCCTGCCACAATCACCACACCGTTGTCCTTGTCCCTAAGTCCTTACTTCTCCCCCAGAGCTGTCCGGCTGCTCTCTTTCTGTAAGTCTGTTTCTATTTTGCCTGTTAGCTCAGTTCATTAGATTCCATGTATAACTGAAATCATATGGTACTTGTCTTTCTCTGACTAACTTATATTTAAGTTTAAATAACCACATGTGGCTAGTGGCTATGAAGTTGGACACCACAGAAAAATGTAGGGATATTGGCTGAAATGATCTGTACCGTCTCTCGTAGGTGGCCTAGTTTCCTGTTCTATAGGATTCATTCAAAGTCATTCCGAATGATCAGTCAAGGCACCCTGGTCTCACCAGAAATGATAATCCATTATTGCTTTATACGCACTGGGTAGGCCCTGGAGCAGGAAGAGTGAAAGTGATGAGAGCCATATTTCCACAGCCAGACTGATGCTTCTCATTGTCCCTGGGTTTTTATAAGCTGGAACTAAAGGGTGAATCAAGGCAATCCCAGTCTTTGTGAATGAATGTACATGTATAGAACTGGGCTGTGAGTATAGTTACACTCTTCATCTACCTTTCCAAAGTGCCATTATTATTGATTGTAGAATAATTTCAGTTCTGGAAGGAAAAAAAGACTCCTCTTACTTTGTGGAAAAACGAATACATCTTGAGAACGTCACTTTCTCTCTGCTTTGTCTCCTCATCTGTACTATGAGAGAGTTGGACTAGATTTATTGATGCAATAAACCGAACAATATCACGAGCTAACAGGAAGGCAAACAATGAGCTAGGGACCTGTAATCCACTCGACAACTCAATAAAGTATCTAAACCAAGTGATTTTTTCAAGGCGCCTTTTCCTCTCTCTGAGTTCATGTACTATAAATCCTATGACTAAGAGTTAATGTTATGAAAGTTTTATGAATGAAAGTCTTTTAACCTTCTATCCAAATCATACTTCACTGGGACGGAACACTAAAGAAAGAAATTAAGGAAAACACAAATAAATGGAAGCATATACCATGTTTATGTGTAGGAAGAATTAACATCATTAAAATGTCCATACTACCCAAAGCAATTTGTAGATACAACACAATCCCTATTAAAACACCAATTTCCTATTTCACAGATATAGAACAAATATTTCAAAAATTTATATGCAACCATAAATGACTCCAAATAGCCTCAACAATTTTGAGAAAGAAAACAAAGTAGGAGGGATCACAATACCTGACATCAAACTATATTACAAGGCCACTGTAATCAAAACAGTCTGGTACTGGCAGAAGAACAGACACATAGATCAATGAATCCAAATAAAGAGCCCAGAAATAAACCCATGCCTCTACGGCCAATTAATATTCGACAAAGGAAGCAGGAGCATAAAATGGAGTAAAAACAGCCTCTTCAACAAATGGTGTTGGGAGAGCTGGACAGCTACATGCAGAAAAATGACACTAGTCCACCAACTTACACCATACATAAAAATAAACCTCAGATGGATAAAAGACTTAAACATAAGCCATGACACCATAAAAGTCCTAGAGGAGAACATAGGTAGAAAACTCTCAGATATCCCACACAGTAATCTTTTCACCAATATGTCCCCTAGGGCAAGAGCTATAAAGGAAAGAATAAACAAATGGGACTGCATCAAACTAAAAAAGCTCTGCACAGCTGAAAAAGAATCAGCAAACTGAAAAGGGAACCAACTTTATGGGAAAATATATTTGCAATGATACCTCAGACAAGGGTTTGAGCTCCACAATATATAAAGAACTCACACAACTCCACACCAGGAAGACAAACAATCCACTTAAAAAATGGGCAATGGACCTGAACAGACACTTCTCCAAGGAGGACATACAGAGGGCCCAGAGATGGGTGAAAGGATGCTCAGCATCACTGGCCATCAGAGAGATGCAGGTTAAAACCACCATGAGGTACCACCTCACACCGGTCAGAATGGCCATCATAAACAGATCCACAAGCAATGGGTGCTGGCGAGGCTGTGGAGAAAAGGGAACCCTTGTGCACTGTTGGTAGGAATGCAGGCTGGTGCAGCCACTGTGGAAAACAGTATGGAATGTCCTCAAAAAACCGAAAATGGAACTGCCTTTTGACCTGGCAATTCCACTGTTGGAATTTTTCCCTAAGAATCCTGAAACACCAATTCAAGAACCTATGCGCCCCTATGTTCATAGCAGCGCAATTTACAGTAGCCAAGTGCTGCAAACACCATAAGTGCCCATCAGTAAATGAGTGGATCAAAAAACTGTGGCACATTTACACAATGGAACACTACGCAGCAGAAAGAAAGAAGGAGCTCCTACCCTTCGCAACAGCATGGATGGAACTGGAGAACATTATGCTAAGCGAAATAAGCCAGGGGGCGAAAGACAAATACCATATGGTCTCGCCTATAAGTGGAACCTAATGAACAAAACAAACAGGCAAGCAAAATAGAACCAGAGACATGAAAATAAAGAAAAAACTGACCGTGACCAGAGGTAGGGAAGGGGATAACGAGGAAAAGAATAGGAAGGGGCAAGTCAAGGAACCGGCATAAAGGACCCATGGACAAGGACAGCGGGGACAGGGGGGGATGGATTGTGGGAGGTGGGGGCAGGGCAAGGGAGAGAAATGGGGGCAAAATGGGGACAATTATAATTGAACAATAAATTTTTCTTAAATAATAAAAATGAAAATGAAAAAACAAATCACACTTCAGTAAGACAGAGTCCCCAACATATTACATGTTCGTCTCCCCTCTCACTCACCACGGCCTCCTTGGTACTCTCTACCGCAATAATAAAGTAATACCTGAAAGAGTCTGAGAACATGAGGGTTAGGGTAGAGAGATGGCAGCAGACACATCTCAGCCTGGACACGGCACCACTTCCTGAAACAGCAGGAAATGTGAGGGTAAGTATGTATTGAAGATGTACAGAAAGGAAAAGAAAGGACGGAGAGGTAAGGAAAGGAGATGTTTTAAAATCAGCTGTCAATTATAGGAAACACGGTAAACATTGAGGCAGCTGTAGGAGGCAAACACATGCCGTATTGTGCGTGTATAATGTGCATCCACGGTTTTGGCCCAAACTTTCAAGGGGGGAAAAAAAACTTTCACTTTCATTTTTTAAGTCCATTTTTTAATTTATTTATATTTAGAAACAAAACCGATTATCGGATTCCAGGGTATTACTTTGCGTACGGATAGCGTTATTGCTTTCTGGAGTTACACTTTTAACGCATAAGTATAAATAAAAGAATGGAAAACATTTATATAGATACGGAATTGGTGCGATCCATGTATAATGCGCATCCCTATTTTTCCCTCAAAAATTTGGGCAAAGAGTCGCGCGTTACACATGGCGGAATCTGGTGACTGGGGATGGGTGGGGTTCTGCCCTTCCCATCACTCAGAAAACAGAGAAGCAACTAAGGGAGAATGTGAGTAGAGGAGGACACAGAAGCAACAGAGTATCCCGTTCCCTGCCAAAGCTGTTGTGGTGCCATTTTGAAAGTCAAAGCTCTAGCCCCTCTCTCCTTTTTACCTTACACGAGTACGAGCTACCCTTCCACCTACCTTCCAAGATGGCTAACAGTCCAGGCTGCAGAGAAAGTGACAACTCACCCTTTATCTCCCTCACGAACTTCCCCTACATGCCTGGAAATCCAAATATAATTGAAAAAATTCTAGTTATAATGTCACTTTAGTTAGTAAAGCTCCCCAAGGATGATGGAAGGGTCTGGTCTTGGGTCCAAATGTTATCTTCCCCTTTAATTGGGTTTGTTGGCATTTCCCCCCAACTACTACCACAACCACGAGTTCTATGAACAAAGATGAACATTTCAGAACCCTCAGCACCCTGGCTCCAGGTTGGCTGTGAGAGAATTCTGGTACCTACAGAAGAAGGATTTGAGTAAATGGCTTTGTTCCCGCAGCATGTAGCGGGGTCATAGGGATGTTGCTGGGTTCACACTTTACTGAGTACCACCAAATTAGTTATTAGTTATTGGGCCATGTTTTTAATGTGTTAAAATAAACATAAATAGCCCTGGCTGGTGTGGCTCAGTGGATTGAGTGCCAGCCTATGAACCAAAAGGTCACCGGTTTGATTCCCAGTCAGGGCACAGGCCTGGGTTGCGGGCCGGGTCCCCAGTAGGGGGCGCATGAGAGACAACCGATTGATGTTTCTCTCGCACATCGATGTTTCTGTTCCTCTCTTTCTCCCGCCCTTCCCCTCTCTCTAAAAAATAAGTAAAATATTTAAAATAAATAAACATAATTATGTCTACCCCCATATAGACCATCTTATATAATATAACTGAATATAATCGATGTAACCAACTCACATCAGGGTCTCTTCATCTGGTTCATGACATCAAGATGCTACCCCAAGCTCAAAAAGGCACATGGCAGAGGTCATGCCCCTATTCTCCAAGAGCCAGGTAGGGCATCGCATAGCTCAACACCCCAGAGCCTAGCCAAAGGGCAAGAGCATTCCCTTGGCTTCCAAATTCTTAACACAGCGCCACTGACAGCAAGCCCAGTCATTCCAGATCATTCTCCGTGTGACAGAAAACAACCCACTTTTAATTCTGTGGAGGCCATGTACTGTTGTGTGGATTTCAGAAAACCAAGCTCAAATTAAAACAATTCTTTTCCAGGACATAAGCCACCAGAAAGGAAAAGCCTTTTTCGAATACAGATAGGGCCACAAGTGTCATAACAGAGAGAGAGAGAGAGAGAGAAAGAAGAAATTTATCTTGCCTAAGATCAAGTTTCATATAATGGCAGTTAGATGAGTATATCATCTTTCTCCGCCTACAAATAGTTTAACCACCCCCAAGTCATAAAAATCTGAGAAACTAGGCTGGACAGAGTATATTCCTTCCTGCTTCTCATATCAGGGCAGCTGTGTGATTTCCTGAGGATTCTGTTGCTGGTTCTAGGGATAAAAGTTCATTTACACACACAATAACCTGTAAGCCTCCAGTTTCCCACCCTCTCTCTCCCTATCCCTCCGTCGTCTGGCACCAGAGAAGCCAATCTGAAAGAGGAAGAAGGATCTGTATACATTGACTAGCATGTTCCCTACCCCCTCTGCTCTTAAAAACAGCAGCAGCCCATCTTTCCAAAGAAGCTTGCCTGAAGAGCAGGCGCCGTGTGAATGAGCTGCACTCTCGGGACCCTGCAGATTATCCAGATCCACTGTGCAGCTCTGCAAGAAACGGGTCGATCGGCTTTGCTGAAGACTTGGAGTCTGCTTCTGGGAGCAAAAGCTAAAGGACCCTGAAGAGTCAATCTCGACCTGTGCAGGTAAGGAGATTCAATGTTTCCATGCGAGGACCAGAACTGTACATAGGAAAATTTTGCTGATTTGGGCAATTTCCTGGGAGCTTGAGGATCTGTCCCACCTGCTTTAAATTGGGCTGCTTTAGTTATTGGCCACGGATGTGATAATCGAATCAATCTGTCAAACAAGGATTGCTCAGTGCTTCTGCAAGGTAGGGGCTCCTTGTAGCAAAATAGAGAGGGGACACTCTCCAAGCCCAGCGCCTTTGCAGTTAAGTCAGAAACGTTAAGGCATATTTTCAAATCCTATTTTCAGGACCAAATGGAGTTTCTCTAATCCGTAGTGGCAGTTCCTTCAATATTGAAATAAAATATATAGTGACTGCTGAAGGTAAAAAAAAAAAAAAGTGCAGAATTATCTGTTGTTTTCATAAGGTAGTTTCACCTTCATTTTCCCACTTGACCTCTCAATATCCTGCAATTTAGACAGGGTAAGTGCTACTCTCCTGTTTTGCAAATAAGAAAAGGGACTCAGAGAAGTGAAATAGTCTGGAAACATGCCACACAACTAGAAATAGGCAAGTTAGGACTAGAGGCTGAAAATAGAAAACTCTGAAAACTACAAAGGAACATAACAAAATCACATCATCTTTTTAGCACCTTAGACGTATATGACACAGACCAGCACTTCATACATTTTAATCAAAATCGTTGGCCAGGAACCTTCTTCTACTGAGGAGCAAAAGATCTCTTTCTAAGGGTAAACAAGTGGCTTGGTGGGTTCCATCTATAGCCAAAAAAGGAAAATCCTTGAATTTTGAATGCAGTTTTTCTGCCTTCCAGTACTCTGATTGTTTTGAAATCTAGAGAGAGGCCACAACACCATACATTTATCAGGTGATTATTAAAAAACAAAATGTAATTAAACCTGGACCTGGGACTGCACTGCATACCCATGAGTTCCTGCAAATGAAATAAATCAGGCTGGGGGCCAGCGAAGCACAAGAGAAAGGTGGGTTAAAAGAAGTTTGCAGGTTGAGGCCCAGCTGGAGTCCAGCATTTCTGTCTTCCTAACCTGGAACTACCAATTTCATTCTCTACTACCTTTTCCCTCCTTACCTTTAATCAAACTTTTGATGTGTTTAGGAACTAGCTATCCGGTATAAAATCAAGATTTTTCCATGGTGCAGGAAATTATCAATTTGCCTTTGCTGTGTCATTGGGATTAAGGGATTAAGGGACCGATCCTTAACCTACATATCCAACCTTGTTAATCTAATGCCGTGAAGGATAACTATTATAATCTCCCAAATAACATAGCTCTGTGCAGATCACTACTTTGATCTATTCTGCTATGTCTTATGTTCTTATTAATGCCTTATTATGTTCTTATTAATTATGTTCTTATTAATGTAATGTGCATTGTACATTACAATGTACAAATACATTGTAATCTGGTTAAATAAATGTTGATTAAACTCAATACAGTCTGAGGCACAGAGCAAGGTAAGTCATAGTTCCTTGCCTTGGGGAATTTACAAGGCACCTGATCCGGCTACATAAAGGGACTGAGTTGAGGAATAACAGAAAATTAATTTGGATAGAAATGTAAGACAAGATTATTAGACCTGGAATTCCAGGCACTTTTTGTGCTTAAGGTCAAGTTCAAGGAGTTCATCATCCCCAAGCCCTTATTATATGAAATGTTAAAGGGACTCACCTAAGAAAAAGAAGACAATCAAAACTATGATCACTAAAATGACAACAAACTCACCGCTATCAACAACTGAAGGTAAAAACAAAAACTAACTAAGCGAACAACTAGAACAGGAACAGAATCACAGAAACGGAGATCACATGGAGGGTTATCCCTGGGGAGGGGGACGGGGGAGGATGGGGGAAAGGTACAGGGAATAAGAAGCATAGATGGTAGGTACAAAATAGACGGGGGGAGGTTAAGAATAGTGTAGGGAAGGGAGACGCTAAAGAACTTACATGTACGACCCATGGACATGAACTAAGGGGAGGGGATGCTGGTGGGAGAGGGGTGTACAGCAGAGCAGGATCAAGGGGAGAAAAAACGAGACAACCATAATAGCCTAATCAATAAAATATACTTTTTTTAAAAAAAAGAACTCCAGGTACTTTTTAAAGGGAAATCTTATCAGCAAACTTGCGTAAGGGATGACAAGCATTTTCAGGAGATGAGTTTCATCACCTGCCTACACCTGCAGAAAACTGGAGACGGGAGGCCACTGACAGAGCGGAACTTAATGAGGCTCTAGATTAGGTTGATGGCGGTAGAAATGGACTATAGAGGAGCTCAAGAGACATTCCTATGGAACAATAGGTGGAAATTGGTGAGTGATTAAATACAGGCAGCACAGGAAAAAAGTAAGTCAGAGACATCTCTGAGATGTTGAACTTGTACACTTTGGGCAGTAGTGCTATAGCAGTACCACTAGAAATAGGTAATTTGGGAATAGAAATGGGAAGTGTAGGACATGTTCTGTTTCGACCCATTGAGTTTGAGGGCATGGCAAAAATTCCAAGAAGCAATGTCTTTTTTTTTTTTAATTGATGGGGTAACTGACCTGAGGTGAGTATCTCTGTGACCAGATAGTGTTTGGGGTTTTTTTTAATTTTTTTTAAATTTTATTTATTTCTTTTTAGAGAAGGGAGGGAAGGAGAAAGAGGGAGAGAAACATCAATGTGCAAGAGAAACATTGACTGGTTGCCTCTCACATGCTCCCAACTGGGGACCTGGCCCGCAACCCAGGCAGGTGCCCTGACTGGGAATCGAACCAGCAACATTTCAGTTTTCAAGCTGACGCTCAATTCGCTGACCCACTAGCCAGTGCCAAAAAGTAATGTCTTATGACTGGTTGGAAGTAATGGTCCTGAATGTGAATGATGGAGAATACGTGCAGGCCAAAGTTAAACCTGGGGAGTATGATTGATAGCCAAGGTCATATAAATGGCTCAACTAAATCTAAAAGTTAGGTTTACTCAATCTAAGAGATGACCAACAACTGAAATTTGTGCAGCACCTACATTTTCAGGCCAGATGAAGAAGAGGGTCCTAAGAAATAAGAGCCACAGAAATACAATTCTTCTTCTCAAAAGATAGCAAGCATCTTGAGGGAGGGTATCAGGTTAGTTACTCTTTCAAATCTCCCCTTCCCAACAATAACTAGCATAGTGCTCCATACACACCATGAGCACTCAATAAATATGAATTACTTTAACAGAAGCAAGCATGGAGAACTTCTGCTTCAAGCAGTCGTCCAGTTTGGACTCTGTCATAAACCCTACAACCTAACAGTAGCTGCTGTAAACTGCCTTGCTGCTGAATTTCAATGGAAAAGAAATGGCCTTGGATGACTGGGAGGTCACCCAACCTTTGCCTTCCAATGGCCTACGTGTCTTTAGCAAGTTACCGAACATCAGTTTTGCTTGGTTTCCTCCTGTAGCAGCTAGAGTAACAAGCGTACAGGAATACTTTTTAGATCTTTTAAAATAAGTAGTGTAAATACGAAAGAAATTTGAAACTACAAACCAGCATCAAAAAGGGTCTTGTTTAAAGTCCATTCCAGGTGAATAAAATACCCAACAAGCTTGATAGCATGTGGTGGTAGTGGGGCCAGTTACTTTTTCCTCCCAAAAACATACTCCAGATCCAGGGTCCTTACTAGAAGTACCAGCAATTTCTTTCATTTTTTTTACTGTTCAAATACATTTGTCTCCATTTCCCCGCCACCACTTTCCCCTGCCCCACCCACCCAAATCTCCCTCCCTCCATCCTTCCCCACTCTGGCTATGCCCATGGGGCCATCATAAATGTTCCTTGATTTGACCCCTCCCCTTCTTCTCCCAGTTACCACCCTCTCTCCTTCTCTCCTGTTACTGACAGTTTCTTTTTTCTTTCAATGTTGCTGGTTATATTTTCCTTGCTTGGTTGTTGCATTGATCAGGTTCCACTTACAGGTGAGATCATTGGGTATTTGTCTTTCACCGCCTGGCTTATTTCTCTTAGCATAATGCTCTCCAGTTCCATCCAAGCTGTCACGAAAGGCAGTAGCTCCTTCCTTCTTTCTGCTGCGCAGAATTCCATTGTGTAAATGGACCCTAGTTTTTCGATCCACTCATCTACTGATGGGCACTTAGGTTGCTTCCAGCACTTGGCTATTGACAATTGTGCTGCTATGAACATTGGGGTGCATAGGTTCTTTTGAATGGGTGTTTTGGGGATTCTTAGGGTATAACCCCCGCAGTGGAATTGGAAGTACCAGCAATTTCCCCCAGCTCCCAGGACCTGCCAGTAAGACCCAGCGCCCTGGTTAGCACTACCTGTACAGTACTTGTGCAAGCCTCCACGTGAATGCCCAAAATATTTAAGAGTAGTATGTAACAAGTATTTCTGTGAAAACACTACCCACCTTTATTCATGAGCTGTTAATTCCATTAAGCCCACTGTTCTTAGGATTAAATGCTAAGGATCAAAACAATTTTTACAAAAAGTTCTGAATGGATTTAGGACAGTGATATCCCACTGTCCTAAAGCCACTCGTCTAACCACAGATTCGGTTATAATACAAATCATGTTCCCAGAATACATAGGCAGGTATAGCGCACGTGTGTCTCTCCATAAAATGCAGGCGTAAAGTCATTTTTGTCTCTCAAACCAATGTTACTTGGGTTTCAGGTTACATGGATGTCTACGTGGTGTGATTTGAAAGCCAGTGAGAAACAACTTTTCCAGTTCGGTCAGGGTAAGTAAACTGCCAGCAGACATAGCCCCGCTAAGCAACCCTACAAAAGTGATTCATGAGTCAGGATGCCAACTTGTTGGTTTGCACTGAGGAAATACAACCGCTAAGAAGACTCAAAGCAGGTAGTGGCACATCATCATCCTTGCAGAAAAGGCAACAAAGAAAGCCGTTTAACCAGATTATAAATTCAGACTTCTTAAATCCATTAATTCACGTTACAATACTGGTGCTAAAACAGCACGAACTGATGATTATTTTTGCCTTCAATCGAGAGCTCTTTATAGGTTGGTAGAGAAGACCACTATTTATAGATGAGTTGTGCACCCCAAAACTCTTCAGTCTTTCTTCCTCATTTCATCTCGACCCTACCAGGATCCCTCCATTCTTTGTGCCTCACCAGTTTTGCTTCTGTACTTAGCGGGGAGTTCTTATGAGAGAAAAGAGAAAGAAATAGTAATCAATATTTGGGAGAAGTTAGGAAGGGGCCCAGCGAGAAGCAGGAGGAAAGGAAAAAAATGAAGAATAAATATAGACCCTTGAGCACTTAAACACAAAGTTGGTCTTCCTTTTGATGAATAAAGTATTATTTAGAGTGTTTGTGGAATCAACATATTCCAAGCATTTGAGCTCCCACCGAAATGTGGCCAATGGGAAAGGAAATGGGGCTGAGGTCTAGATCTCCTGGCATAGGGGGCATTTCTTCTCTTTTCATCCAACCACTTTTCCCAAAAAAGGAAAAAAAATCCAGTTTGGAATCACATTTGGAGATGTCTGATGTGTAAACCTTCTTAAGATTTCTCATATAACTCATCTAAACAGATTCTGTTTTCCCACAAGGCTGTTTTTGTGTTGTCATGGACTCAACATGGCACATGGAATGAAGCTAACAATAACAACAGAAACATCTCTCACACATCCCATGTACTGATTCCAAAACTCTTATGAAGGTCAGGCCTTAGAAGACATTAAAAGCATCTTTTCATTCTTAATTGGTTCCCCTTACTGTTTAATCTAAATTTGAGTTCTTGTTTAAGATGAAGACCTTCAATAAAAAGCCATCTCCTGCAGGGGTGTCCAGCCTGCAGCCTGTGGGTCCCAACACATAGTCGTAAATTTACTAAAACATTATGGGATTTTGTGTGCGTGTGATTACGTGTCACAATATATTTAATGTCTGGCCCAAGACAACTCTTCTTCTTCCAGTGCAGCCCAGAGATGCCAAAAGGTTGGACGCCTGCATAAGAGAATTATTTTGCTTCCAAGATCCAGGCATCTAAGTACCAAGAAGTTAGAGGCAGGTCTCAGCGTCAGCTGTGAGCAGAACTAACAGGGATTCCACGTTTCTGGTACTGAGGCAGAGGCTTACACAGGTGTCCCTGGAAGAAGGTAGGCCCTCTGGTTAGTGCTTTACCAGTTCAGAAGCGTGTTAGCTGCCTGTTACATATTCCTACCGCCCAGGCTAAGGATCCGACTCTCTTCCACTGTGCATTCCCACAGGCAGTCTCACGGGCCCTCAAGGTCCCTATTGCCATTTTCGGGCTTGCATTTCCCTTCAAGCCAGTCCTTATGCACTGCTCTATTCTGATAACACATGATAATAAATATCTGTGTCGCAGTACTATGCAAGGGGCACACAGTATAATTAGCTCGGAATGACACAGTCCAAGTGCCTTTTAGACTGCGGCACTTTCCTGTATTTGGACTCCAACTGACAACAGACTGACAACAGCCCAGCTTGATGAATGTGATGTTCTCCCTCCCCTTAGGGGTAAATAAGTCATTAGAGAAGAAACATCTGAAAAATGTCAGCTGTGCAATACCATCTCCCCAATAGTTTCTAATTCCTGCGAGAATGCTGCTAAGCATGCCGCTGAAAATGCAAGTGAAAAAGCTACTTCTTGTGATAAGAAGGCTACAGTGAGGGTGGGAGCATCTTTCTAGTCCTTTCCTCGAGATCTTCCATTCCATGAAGGAAAGCCACTGGGGTCTATAAGCCTGGTTTTTTGGGGATTGAAACCCCCTGCGTGGTTTTGCTCCACTCAATCAATAACCAATCACGCTACTAATATTTATTGCCCATTTTTCTATGTGTGAAACCATTGAGACAGGCTGGGCATTGCGATCGCAGAGCTTCAGGAAAGAAAAGGCTAGATGTTTTCTCAGGGTAGTTCCCAATCTACTTTAGGAGACAAGATTCCTACACATTAGAAGATACAATACAAGGTATTAGAATGCTGGCTGCCATATCATCAGTACAAACAATGAGCATAATACAAGTTCAAAGAACAGAAATGCGAGCAGGGAATAGGGTGGTCAAAGCTGGTATCAGGAAGTGGAACCCGAGCTCAGCCTCCTCGGAGCAGGAAAGCAAACCATACGAATTTACCTTTGTATGGTGCTTTACAGTTTACAAAATGCTCATATTTGCTGATTCTCCATTCCTGTGCCCATCCAACAAATACCTGCCATATCAAAAAATTAATCAAACACTGTCTCAGTTAACTTTCTTGGAGAGAATCCCTTCACAATGGAGAAATGTATCAGATCATCACGTTGGACACTTTAAATAGCTCCTCATTTTATTCATTAATTATACATCAAGAAAGCTTGGAGAGGGCATTGTCCCTCAGTCCGTCACCTCTCTGAGCTCAGCCTCAAAGTGAACACCACACTTCACTTGTTTCGTTTGACAATAATAGGATGCATGGAGAACAGGAGAAAGAGGGCCCTGGGGGGGTTGGCCAAATAAAAGTAGGGCCCCACGGAGCTGCAGCCTCATGAAAACTATGTTTCCTGCATCCTGCCACTGCTCAGCAGAAGTGGAAGAAGCGCCTGCCTTAGAAGGCTGAGCCCAGAGTCCCAACCTCCCCCACTTCCTCTTTTGCTCTGGCGCTGCCCTTATCACCCCGCCCCTGCCCGCCTTCCGCCAACAAGAGCAGACCATCCGGTGCATGCGAGCATTTACTAGAAAGGTAAAGGAAGTCTTGGGGAGTCATTCAAATTAATAGAGTCATAAAACTACATCCAAATACTGATTTTATCTTTCAGTCTCTCCAGTTGGCTGAATTCAAAAACAACCATTATCAGATTCACCCAGGCCTATTGTCAGAAACGTCCTTGGGTCTTTAGATTCTATCAATCTCTGGCCTTGCCACTTTTGAACTGTCCTGTGAGCCTCACCGGACTTTTGTCTTCTTGTTTGTTTGTTTGTTTGATTGTTTGAAGCTCTTGGCCTCCTCTTTCGTCCTAAATGTGTGGATTCATCTTCCCAACCATGTTACTTTCTTCTCCAGTGATTTGTAAAGTGTCCATTCACAAGTCATGGTCCCCTATATTCTTTCTGATTTTTCAGAACTTGTTAATAAACTCTACCCTCCAAGAGCTCTCCACATTTCACTTCCCCTTTATGCCGGGGCCTACATCCTTGCACAATAACACCTACATTTCCACACAAAAAGCACGCTCCACCCTCGACCTCTTAGACACCCGCCCTGGGATGTTAAATACTCGTATTACTCAAAAGCACCTAGTGACAGAGTTACTCTTCTTTAGTTGGTCAATAAGGAGAGGAAGAGAGCAAAAATTAATGAAGCAGGTGCCCCATCATTAATGGGCTCACCATCTCAACGGGTATGATAGCTATGTACGCTAAAAGAGTAACTACAGCACTGTAAAAAATAAGAGAACCATGAACAAGGGAGTGTTTGTGGAAAATAACTTCAACTTGAATCTTGAATTATCAGTAGAAAAATGCCAAGTTCACCCCGTGGACCTTACACGGAAGGGCGAAAGAGGATGCATAGCTCAATTATCTTCAATTAGCCAAGGCATGATGAGATAAGCATGCTGAACTAAGTTGGTGAAAGAGAGAGAAGTGGGAGATACTGCAGTAAAAGACTGAACAAAATGCCCTGCCTGGTGTGGCTCAGTGGATTGGGTGCCAGCCTGCAACCCAAAAGGTCACAGGTTTGATCCCCAGTAAGGGCACATGCCTGGGTGGTGGGCCAGGCCCCCAGTCAGGGGCGTGCAAGAGGCAACCAGTTCTCTCTTGCACATGGATGTTTCTCTCCGTCTCTTTCTCCCTCCCTTCCCCTCTCTCTAAAAAGAAATAAACAAAATCTTGAGAAGAAAAAATCCAGTTCAGGTGAGTCTTTTGTGGCTGAGGCAGAGATTTTGAGTCATCCACGTGAAAATGATCTTTTTATTCCATAGACGTTAATACATTCTTGAGGGGGAAGAGAGAAGCAAAATCCTGAACACCAAACATTTGCATGTCACAGACTCTGGCTGCACTGACAGCCTCAGTGAGAGATCGGAAAAATCTGTCCTTGACGAAGGGAGATCAGAAAGAAGAGCCAGTACTAGGGCAGCAGCACAGGAGCACAACAGGACAGGCGACTGTCATCCCCACATTTCGGTTTTTTTTCAAACGCAAAAATTCATTGGAACAGTATCTCGAAGATGACTTCTGGCTCCAACTGGCATCTATTCCTGGAATTGCAAAGGGCACACTTTACCAACATGGCACAATAATATTTTCTTAAAAAGGAATGACATAGAATTTCACTGGCCATCCGTTCTGTTCCTGCTCTGCAAAGCACTATGCTAACCACTCCAGAGGAAACATGGAGAAGCGTAAGGGGAAGTAAAATAGGAAAAAGAAAACATGAAAAAAAAAAGATTTAATCACTGTTTTCAAGGAATCTAGTTGAACCTAGTAGACCCACTTTCAGCTACTACATAGTAAATCATGCCCTGCTGCTGTCAGACTTGCTCGCTATTTTAGTTGGATAAGAAACAAGCTGCTTAAATTTAGTTCTCATGCAAGTTCTATGTTTTTACTTTGGTGAGATGTTCTGAAAAAAAAAACCCCTGTTAACTGTTTCAAAATTACACCAATGGAAAAATAAGAAGGTAATACAATAAATGAACTGTAAGATCTAATGTGCCTCAAGAAAGCAACTTTGAGATGCGTTCGTCTGATTTAACACATTCATTGG